CCGTGTCCAGGGGCGACAAACCCTCCTGAACGCAAACCCTAAACCCTAAACCCTAAACCCTAAATCATAAACCCTAGAGGCTTGAGCCTTGACCACTGGCCTCCAGTTCAAAGCCCGGAAGCGGAAGCGCTCGCTCAGTACATCTGGTGCTTCGCCCTCCGCCCTCCAAAGCCTAGACCCCAAACCCTAAACCCTAAACCCTAAACCCGAAAGCGCACAAGGATCTGCGGCAAGTTGAGTTTTGCTGCTGCAGTGTTTATCGCTGCAGCAGCAGCAGATATCTCAGGGTCTTCGGGGGCCCACAGCCACGCCATCAGAGAAACATCGAAGAAGCCGACAGCACCAAGTGCTGCAAACCACAAACCCTAAACCCTAAACCCTAAACCCTAAACCCCGAACCCCAAACCCTAAACCATAGAACGGACTGTGAGCCTCACGGCGTGAAGGAGCCTTCCACTCGGCCGCAGGGCGGGCCAGCTCTGGAGAAAGGCCTAGGGTTAGGGTTTAGGGTTTAGGGTTTAGGGTTTGGGGTTTACGTATTTCTGGGCGTTGCGCAAGGAGGGGCCTGAGGGCTTCTTGGGAGTTCCAAATCAGCAGCAGCCCTTTTGCTTTTGGCCTTTTGGCCCCCGAGACAAACAAGTCCCGCATTAAGTCCCAGGCAGCAGCAGCAGCAGCAGCAGCAGCAGCAGCAGCAGCGGCCTCCCCCTGCTGCTGCTGCTGCTGCTGCGCGAACTGGGCCAGGGGAACAACAAAGTGCTGCCACTGCGTCGGGGGGCCCCCCGCGAGCTGCTTCAGGGCATCTTCAGGGTCCCACTGGGGGCCCCCTTGGTCCTCTGGGGGGCCCCCCAGGGCCTGGGGGCCCCCCAGGGTCTGGGGGGCCCCCCCAGGGTCTGGGGGGCCCCCCTGGGTCTGGGGGCTCCCCCCAAGATCTGGGGGCCCCTCCAGCCCGTGGGGGGCCCCCTCGATGTCTGGGGGCCCCCCTTGAGGCTGGGGGCCCCCCCCGCAGCCTGGCGGGCCCCCAAGGCCGTGGGGGGCCCCCCCAGGACCCAGGGGGCCCCCAAGACCGTGGGGGGCCCCCCGAGGGTCTGGGGGCTCCCCAGCAGTACCCTTAGAAACCACGAGAGCCACGGGCTGGGGAAAGCGGGCCCTGAGGGTTTTAATTTTAAAACAAGCAGCTTCTAGTTTGCTGCTGCTGAGGCTAGAAGTGCTGCCATTCTCCAGCAGCAAACTGAACACAAATGCTGCAGGGGGGCCCCCACAAACCCCAACAGGGGCCCCACAAGGGGGGCACCCCGCACCCCCAGGGGGGCCCCCCCCAGCACCTTCTACCCAGCACCCCGCAGCAGCCCCGGGGGCCCCACGGCTTTGAGGGGCCCCTGGGGCCCCTGCACTCTGGGGGCCCCCCGGGGTCTGGGGGCCCCCCGGGGTCTCGGGGCCCCCCGGGGACTGGGGGGCCCCCAGGGTCTGGGGGGCCCCCAGGGTCTGGGGGGCCCCCTGGGCCCCTAGAGTGGGGGGCCCCCCTGCTGCTGCGTTTGAAGTTAATTCGAAGTTGGAGGCAGCAAATTCCGCAAACTGAGTCGAAGTCCACAAGAAAGAAACGTCCTGCACGCCCCAAACCCCAAACCCTAAACCCTAAACCCTAAACCCTAAACCCTAGGTAGCGAACCCGACGCCCAGCCGCTGTGCAGTTTCGCCTGGGGCCTCAAGCTCAATCACCCGCGCTGCATCGCCGCATCCTCTGCACCCTAAACCCTAAACCCTAAACCCTAAACCCTAAACCCTAGCTGAGAGCGCCTCACTTGCCGCTGCTCCCAAGCACTGCATAGGGCCCTCCAGGCCTTCACTGGGTCAAACAAGAGGGGCCCCTTTTGTTTCTTTTTTTCTCCACTTTTATTTATTTTCTTTTCTTTCCGCGCAGCTTTGGGGGCTCCCGGGGGCCCCTTGGGGGCCCCCCGGGGGCCCTTGGGGGCCCCCTGGGGGTCCCCCTGGGGGCCCCCCTCCCCGCTGTACCCTGCGTTGGGGGCCCCCCCTGCTGCTGCTGCTGGGGAGTCAGGGGGCCCCTCGGAGTCCTCGGAGAGGCTCAGGGGGGCCCCCGACTCTGCTGAAAAGGGGGCCCCTTCAGGTGTATCTACAGTGCACAAGGGGGCCCCCGAGGAGGGGTTCAGCTGCTGCTGCTGCTGCGGGGCCCCAGGAGACCCAACAGGGTACTGAGGGGCCCCCGGGGGCCCCTGGGGGCCCCCTGGGAGCCCCTGGGGGCCCCCTGGGGG